ATTCTGTGCTATTCTGATTACAGATTCTATGCTATGTTAATCATAAAATCCTGCTAAGAAAATACAGCTTTAATTGTACCTACAGATGAGTGCTGTCATCGTTCTGCCAAGGATCCCTAAAAGAACCATCTGTCCCCTCAGTGTTGGTGATGGTTGGTTATTTTCTGTGTGCTAAACCTGTATCTGCATTACTGTCTCCCCTTTTTAAGGGGCAAAGAACAGGAAAACAATTTAGACCAGATAAACCTGGGCTGCTGGTTCAAGTACTACTCTCTGTAAGCACTCAGTTCTCCAGGACACTGACACTGCACCACGACACAGCCACGATCTCTGGAACAGTCTGTGCTCTTGGTTCTGCCTTTAACACAACAGCCTCACCACTGCATTAAGGAACAACATCCCTCATTCCAGTGCACCTGATCATGGCTGCTCTGAGCAATGGGAAGTTCCCAAACCCTCTCCCACTTTGTCAAACTGTCCACGTGGCCAACACCAACCTTCCCAGACTGAAGGGATCACTTCCAGCTGGTTGGCTGCATCCAGTGCTTGAAGGAGGTCCAATATATTTTTAGGAGTTGGATAGAAGAGCTGATGAAGGAAGAGAATCATTTCAGTCACCTGTAACAGCTCCACCTCTCCAGACTGCAGCTCTGAAGCTCATTTACCCCAGCACACACTTACGGAAGGTGACATTTCCTTGTACCACTTCAACACCACCTCAATTTGTTCCATCATGCACAACAACGAAAAGAATTTTGACCTAGAGGAGAGAGCAGAAAGTCCTAATTCAGTACTCATTAGAGAAGCACCAGCAGATGATGGTGTGCTGATCAGACCTGTACTGCAGACCAGGGAAGTTTCACTGTGTGATTTCAATACTCCATAAAATCAGAAAAGCTGCAGCATGTTTTATGAGAGAACTTAATGCTGACACTATATAACTGGTAGAATTAATCAGAGTTAGAACACTGCATTTTAAGTTCTCAAAAAAACCAAACAAAAACATCTCCCTGCCTGGTGCCAGGTTTGAGCTACGTGAATCTGCCTCAAATGCAACCTCTGGTTAAGAAGTACTTTAAGAACTGAACTACATTAACCTTCTTGCTTGTCAAGTTCACAACACAAGCCTGGGTCCTCGATCCACTGCACTGAGTAGGAAAATGTCCCCACGCTAAGAAATTATGCTCTTTTGGTGTTACCCCCTGGGCTGCCACCCTAACTGCACAAAAGGACTGTAGAAGATACAACTGGTTGGTCTAGTTGTTGGATGGGGATTGAGATAAACTGATGCTCCAAGACAAGTTTGAAAACTGAAAATAAATAAATCCTAAGCAATCACTGTTCCTAAGAGGGACCCAATTCCCAAGCTGCACATGCAATAACCACCTGTGTTCAGTGCTCAAATCCTAGTTTGTATTCAAGCTGACAATACAAGATGTTGAACAGAAGCTGCACTTTACTCACCAGTAGCCATTTAACCGGTCCACATCCAAGAATTTCCAGTTGTCTCCCTTCCCCATTGTCTCATTTAACTGATAGGCAAGCTTGATATCCTTAAGATCACAGCACTGCAACAAACCAGTGGGATTGTAAAGATAAAAATATGCCACTCCATCCATCCCTCTGAGACCCTCTTTCACAAAGGTACACATTCATCACAGGCATGCAAGCTACCAGTCTGGAAGGGATCAGGCCAAGAACTGCAGAATTATGAAGGAAAAGTTACAAGAAATTATGAAAACAGATGACAATAGGAGATACTGAGAGCTCAACCTTGTATGCCAGGGTGGAAAACTCACAGGCGACTCTTAAACAGCTGGAGAGCTCAAAGGAATTCTGATGGCAGGGAAGAGGCACTTACCACTTGCATGGCAGTGGAAAAAAAGCTGGCTGAAAAGGAAAAAAACCAGTCTATTAGCTTCAAGCTTCCAAGGAGACATAACAGCAGCTCATTAACCCAACCCTCCCAGAGGACAGACTTGTTCAATTAGAAAGCTCAGTTTGTAGCTCAGTTTGGCACTGTAGCAGGGATTTTCACTCTCAAGGCAGAAACTTTGGTGTGGCAGGAGTGGGGTGGATTTTATATCCTCCTGGCAACAGCTTAGAGCAGAGACAGAACAGTGTTAACACACACAGCAGGAGAGAAGCAAAGGTGTTCAACATTCACCAGATGTGTATCACTTCATGAAGCTGCTACCTGATGTTCCTCCTTACACTAATCTTGGGGTTTTTTTTAATTCTATGGAGCTCAAATGCTCATTCACATGGGTTACAGTCCCACTTCCACACAGAAGCCAGTGCACCAATGCCCAGCATGATTTCTGGCACTGGAATTTGTCCTTCTCTGTCTCCCAAGGGTATCAGAAGGGACTGAGAAGCACAGGTGCATGCATTTTGCCTAGCTGAGGAAAACCACCTGAAATCCGCAGGTATCTTTTCACCCAAGCTTTCCCAATGCAGATTGTCAGATATTATGGAAGTCCTTACCATCATCAGGGTCCTGGGGAGTGAAACCTCTCTTTTCAACCTCATCTAACACCTCAGAGATGATGCCTGATGGGGGAAGATCAACTGTGGGACAAAGAGACAAAGCAACACGTCTCAGCTGTGCCAAGCACTTCCTTAGTGAAGAGCATCAGCCTGCAAATATAACATGGAAATGGGAACAAGCAACACGATTTCAAACAATTACCATGATTCCCGTGGTGCTCCCCACCAAGCTGCAGCTTTATTGGCTCTGAGATTTGCCCTATTATTACCAGACTTCCAGAGCTGAATAGGGCAGATTCAGAAAGAGAAAAGTGCTTTCTAGCAAGGAATCAAACAGGTCTGGAAGTCTGTCAGAAAACTGCACTGGGAAAAGCAAAGCATTTAATGAACCACTAAAAAAAATTAAAAGGGGAAAAATCCAGAAAAAAACCCACAAAACCCACAACTAAACCCAGAGAGACTCCAGAGCAGTTCTTTTCATGTTTCTTAAAATGCAAGGGCTGCAGTTACACTCCTGTGCCTATTCTCTTCCTGTAGCCAAAATTCTGTGGGCATGGGATCTGGAACAGTTGGGCTCCTGCTTTCTAACCCAGTGATTTTTCACTGCAGCCCCAGTGCACAGAACTGCTGCAGAAAGAGAATCCCTGTGCAATTTCAGCCCTGTGAGTGCCACAGTCCATGAGGTCACATACGCTGTGGTCAGACCCAGCCTCCACCGAGACTGGGGAGCATTTGCCCCCTTACGAGGTCATCGTCCTCTGTAGCTTTATCTTCCACCCAAGCAGAATCAGGCTGCACACATAAGAGCTTGTCTTAACCCGTAAATCAATCACCCACGACAGTTGGAGAACATTTAAAGCAGATGCTGAGCAGGACACATCCATGGGCAAGCTGATCCCGCACGTACCGCCTCTGTAAAATATGGAGAGGAGATGATCGTAGGTCGCAAGGCTGGGCTCTGAAAAGCAAGAACACCAAAGTTACTTCATTGTTCCTGGCTGAGCTTTGTGCCAGAGATCTAATTCAGCCTCTTCCCTCCCAGTCAGGCCTGCATGCATTTACTCGAGTATCTCTCCCTGTCCACCCTGAAGCTGGAGCAGAGCTCACCTACACCCAGCTGGGGGAGATGGTACCTCAGTGGATCACCAGTTAGAACATCCCATTTCTAGGCGGGGAGCAGCCAGGCTTCCCTGCTCTAAATTAAAACTAAAAATACTTCTTTATCTAGTTCCCCTTCTGCTCATGAATGTATCTTCAGCCTATCAACAAGCATGTTACTGGGGCTAAGCACACTCCACAGGACATCAAATCAGTTGTGCAGATACTTCCTTGTTTTTGCAACATTTATTTAAAATAAAAAAAAACATTATCTAGATCAAAAGCTTTTTTTCTGCAGAGATGTAGATATATAGACCTGAACTGGCTTGGATGGCTTGTGAAGTACATCTTCCCTCCAACCAGGAACCCCTGTGTTGTGTGCTCCTTAACTATTCTATCCTGCAGTTGGTTCTGGAATATAACAACCAGTGAATATGATAAATAGTCTGGTTCTCTTACCTATATCAAGTGCTTCCATTTCCCTCAGCACCATCAAACACATACTTCTGCCCACACCACCACATCTTCTCAGAGTCTTCAGTAAAGCATTAAAAGTCAGCAGATTTGGTTGCACTTCCTGTTGGGCCATGTGAGTCAGGAATTCCTTAAAAACAAAATACCCAAATCCTTAGCGCTTGACCTGTTACAGATCACAGTTCAGCTTTCCTCAACCTGGTCCTTCTAACTCCCTTCAGGTGAACAACTCTGCTTTAACTGATCATTTATTGAGGGAGTACTGTCTGATTTTTAGTTACTTTGACCAAAACCCAAGGCTACAACATTACACTGGATCAGATCTTGGAGAACTGTGTCTAGAACATCAAGGAAATTTTTATAGTTACATGCTACTTCTCCTTACTGATCTTATGTCATTAAAACTGGAGCCCCTAGTGTTATCCCTCAAAATTCCAGTTCCATCACAGCACCATAAATTACAATTCAAAGAGGTTTTATCTGCAATTGTTTATTTTATCTCCCAGCATAATTTCCCCAGTTACTTTCTGCCCAAGCAGTTCTTGGATCAGGAATGTTCTCACAAGGCAAACCACTCTGCAAGGGCAAGGCTGGATTTTGTACATTTGCTACTCCTCCATATCTGGCTTTTATATTTAAACTAGAGAACGTCCTCTGCAGCAGAAATTAGTATTTTAGGACAAAGCTCTTGCTTTTCTAACAGGTGCAAAATTTTAATGGTAAAGCAGACCTAAACTCTTGCCCCTTCCCCACCTCTTTTGCTCTGCCCTCCTTACCTTGGCCAATTCCCATCTTTCTATGAACCTCTCCTTTAGATATGGGACTGCCCTGATCAGTGCATTGAAGGTGTGCACATCAGCTGGAAAAAAATGCAAGATCATCCATTATTTATTAAGTGACAATTAACAAAGTCTGCAAGGAAAACAGCTTGTTCTGCCATGGCTCAGCCTTTGGCAAAGTCTCATGCAGACTCGTTTGCAGCGAGCCAGCCACACGCCAGCTGCACCCAAAGCACCAGCCTGCACTCAGCTCCCATGATCCAGCTGAGGTCCGTACCCCTGCGCCAATCATCACTGCCATGGAACAAACACTCACAGACCAACACGGCCTTCTGGCACTTAGAAAATCACAAAGAAGAATCAGGAGATGCTCACCCTTGTGCCTTTCATTCAGCAAGTCCATGTACATGTCATAAGCTTTAGAAGCAGCCCCATGCTGTAAGAAAACCAATAAAAGTAAACAACCTCTATGACTGAGATTTCACAGAGCTGAAAAAAATCCCCCAGCACTGAAGAATAAATTTACCTTCACCATCCCACGGATCATTGTGCAATAGGAGTGTGCGTTCCTCTCTGGCATTATCTTAAATATCCTCTCAGCATGGTTGTTCTCCCTGGAATCAAGATCAGAATCCATCATCAGATTTCCATCAACACTTTAGCACAGTTGTATTTAACAAGTAACACCTGTGAATAACAAGTTAACAAGTAACACCTGAAGCATGTGCACAACCCACAGAAGAGGGGAATACTGGCAACGTTTTCCATACCTCCATCTAGGGCCAGATGACTGTGAACCTCTTTGGAATTGTCTCTTTGGAGCCTTCTGCTCTGAAGCATCCACCTGGAGATATTTTTTTTTAATAGAAATAAGTTTCTCAAAGTTCAAAATTGTGATTAAACATCAAATGACCAGATTTGGCAACAACACAGAAGTTCACTGGCAATTTATATTAGCACAGGTGTTTTTTAACAGGTTATGTAAAAATAACTTCTATTATATTTTCTATTAGAATGTTCAGGAAGCAGTAACTAGATTAAGAACATTTATGTTATTAAACATACCAACAAGATAAATTACATGTATTTGGTGGGAATCATTAGACTATAACAAATACTCTGCAGAACCCTTTCTTCCCAGGGACAGCTCCTCTACTACTGTGCCCTGCAACCTGATACTCTGATGTCACACAAGGAGCCCTCAACTTCATTAAAATCCAGTAACATGGTTCAGACTGGAAGAAAATGAACTAGGTAGGTGATCTACACTAGAATTACTAGAGGTCTTCTTTGCAGGCAACTGTAAAAACAAGGCTGTCAGGGAGAAACAGTTATTTAAGCACAGCTCAGCAGAACTAAGCCAAGACAGGATTTCATTTACTGGGTTCAGATTTACACCAACTATTCTTGTTACTAGGTCAGACGCTGGATTTTTATAACATTTATCTCCTGGGAATGCTGATGGCATCTGACCCACCTCATGCCATCTACCAGGATGGTTGTCAAAGTACACAAAACTTGACACCATCTTGATACGCTCCCACTACGTATGAAACAAATTATTAGAGATCAACAGGTTTTTCATACCCCTGGTTCTTTCAAATCCTCTTTTGCTTCTTCCTCCTTTTCAGAAGTAGATTCTTCATCTCCATAGAAGGATAACAAATCTAAAAGCCTGTTTGTGGTCTCCAGAGATACAGGGGTACCTTTAGCAAAGGAGGATATATGACAGTCACAGAGAAAGTCAAGAGCACATTATGCAGCCATATCAGAAAAATTGTGGGCACCCAGTTACACCACTTTGCTCTCTTTCAACACAAGGACATTTTCTAGCTAGTCTGTAAATCCTGGGTGTGACAACAGTACTGCCCATGAACCCGCTCATCACCGGAGACAATTTTAACACTGACTTAAGAGCATTTGTTTTTCTGCTGAAGCCACTGAAAGGGTAGAGTTTTCCTATCAGGTGGGAGAGAGAAGTGGCAGCTGGCAGTCTCAACTGTAAAGCAGCACAAGCTCAAATCAACATCTGAAATTTCTAGTGCTTTTTTTCGTAACTACTTCTGGGAAACACCCTGCTGGGATACACAGTGCTGTGGGATACACCCTGCTGTGCACTTCACTTTCTATGAAACAAATTTAAAACCAACAGAGGAAAAGTATGTTCAAGAAATTATTTGTTCTCCCCATCACCAAAGTGACACACAAGAGAAGCAGTGGCTAAGATTGGATTATTCTCCAGTGACTCTAGAGAACCACTTCACCAGACCAGAGTCAGTTGAGAAAGGCAGAAACACAGTCACAAAACTGTCTCCACAGCCTGTGCCAGCCACTAAAATATTTTTGGCACTATTTAAGCAGAGCTCTACTGCAGAATCTGGCAGGTGACCCCATACCTGCTTGTACAAGCTGATCAAACATGTCCACAGACTCTTTCACCCTTCTGAGGTGGATACGCTCCTTCAGAGCTTCCTCACTCATTCCTTCAATCTGAGGTGTAAGAGCCTCAGGCATCAGGCACTGAAAGCAAACAGTGAAAGTTAAGTCATGAGCTCAAACCTTGCCTGAACTATCACTAAAACGCTAACCAAATATCCTTAGTCTTCACCCAATACACTGCATGCACCTAACAACAGCAGTCCTTTTGGTGATGAAGGACCACACACATCCTCACTTCTGTGCCATCTGAACAACACTGCTCTTCTTACTTTTATCTCAAGAACCTGCTATGATACTGAACTCCCAAGGAAAAACATTCACTTCATAATGGAAACACAGTGCTGCTTTCACAGCAGTCTGCAAAGCAGTTAAAAAATCATCCTTTTATGTTAGTTTTGGACCAGTCTGACAGCTGATTTCACTGACAAAGCACCAACACAATGAAAATTAAAAGCTTACTGGTACGTTGGGGTCTGCAAGAGTCTTGTCAAAATACTGAGGGAAGTTCTTAATGATGTATTTTGCAGCATTTTTCCCGGACTCCTTTGACAACGAATACAGACGCTGCAGAGAAATTAGGGAACGAGATGAATAAACACAAATTACAAGGCCAAGAGTGAGGAGAAACATTTTCTGTAACTCTGAACGTTCTGATGGGATCAAATTAAACTCGTGCTTTGTTTTCAACTTCTTAAAATCACGGACACGAGACAGCATTCCAGGTAAACCTTCTGGTATTCATGCCAGTATGTGTGCTCTTTAAATGTCACTGTACTTCTCTGTGGCTTAGTCAATAAACACAGTTCTATATCATACATCTCAAATCCTGCACTACTACCTCAAGCTCAGAAGCATCTCTCATTTTAGAGAGAAAATTAAAAAAAAACAAAAATCTGACCCTTCATTTTCTTTTGTAATCAAACCCAGGCTCCATTTAGATAAGAGTCTTCATAGCCTAGACAAAGGTGAGGGGGGGAAGTTATCAAGGATCTGAAAGGAAATACTTACAGAATTGGCTGCATTTCTTGGCATGAGGAAAGGGTCATCCTGGAACATATAATGAGCAGCAGTAGGGTCCTGTAGGAAGAAGAACCCAGGATTGAAAGACTTACAGTTATGTTCACAGGCCTCATGGAATTTAAGGCACAGCGAATATTTCCACCATAACCACCACCACGAGATGCACATCTTACAGAAGTTCCCCTCATTCAGAAAGGCCTAATCTGTTTGGAAACAGTTTTATACAAAACTACAACATGGCAAGCATCAAGTGCCCTGCAAACCAAGTAGGACCACAACTATAACAGCCTTGGGACACTGAGGAGACCTGTAGGTTTTGATTCAATTCCCAGAAGTCAAGATAAGACAGGATTAAAGAATGGCATCACAGCATTTCCAGCTGTTGCCCAGCAAGAGCAGACACTCCTTGCACTTTGCAAGGCTTGCTTCCTGGACTGAGATTGGGAAGAGCAATTCTGGATTGGGAAGCTGAAGCGGTAAAGGAACTTGCTCCTGATGTCAGCAAAAGCCTTACCAAAGTACTGCAGCTCTCACTGGTAACTGCAGCTCTCAGCATGAGAATGAGGCTTTAAGGACATAGCAAAACGTGTGGAGCAAAGGTGAAAATCCCACAAAAACCAGATGTAGAAGTCCCATCTATCATTTATGGCCAGAGCAGAAATTAAGAGCCTCCTCAGCACAAGGCTACTGCATGAGATGGAGAGCCTGGACCACTTCCATGACCAACAGAACTACTCACCCTGTTCACGGTGGAAGCCAAGGTCTGGAGCACTGCCAGCTTATCCCTAAACACAGAGGAGCTTTGGTTAATACTCAGCTGCAGACTTGGAATGCTGTGGGTTACATTGTATGGAGAATGGACACAGCATTGTCCTGACCCATAAGGATTTTAATTTCTAGGAAATAATGTTTTTGCTGCATTTAGAAAATGACAATTTTCGCAACAGGAAGGAAAATTCAACTGCAAAAATGGTCTCAGTTCTGGAACCACACCAGGAAAAAGAAAAGATTTTGAGGAAAGCCAGAACAGCATCTGTGTTTCCTGCTGTGATTCCTGCCCCTCTAATACATTATCAAAGAAAGAAAAAGGGGAAGAGACGCACAGAGAATTCCCCAGAATGCTCCTCTCAGAGCCCTCTCCCAGACACGTCTTCGCAAGAAAAATAAAACAACACAAAACCAGAATTCCCAGAACTCCTGTGCCTGTAGATCCTTAAGAATCTGGTTCTTTTAAGCAAACAAGGAAAGGCCAATGGAAGTGTTTAGGTGAGGATGGTCTTATTTTAGGTTTGCATGCAGAAACCATGTGGTCATAAACTTAGTTTTTGCAATCCCACCTTAAGTGCTCCCAATGAAGTAGCTTTTGTTCAGCTGCATAATTTCTAAACAGGATTTATTCAGCCAGCTATCAATGATCAAGTTTTATTTGGCTGGAAGAAACACAACCACGAACAAACAGCCAAATGCACCTGACTTAGATGTCTAACAAGGATTTGCTTCCAAGTCGAGAGATATTCCAAAAGTAAAGACTCACCATGTTTTCCTTCGGGGGAGCACAATTTCTTCTTGAGTTACTATGAGAGAAAACATTAAAATGGTCATTAGAAACAAAGAGATGCCCAAGGGAAATGTTAACCTCACTGCTGTGGGTGTCAATCTCTTCTCCCAAGCAACAGGACAAGAGGAAATGGCCTCAAGTTGGAACTAGCAGTGGAGACATCTCACCTTCTGAACTGTCCACAGCCTTCCCAAGGGCTGTGCTGCTCGAGGAGCACCTACAAAACAATCAGAGTTTTGAATTTATGGCAGTCACAATAGTATGGCAAGAGCAGATCAACGAAA